TTCGTAGCCTGCAAAGTCAGACTGTTCAACTCTGTCCACCACTGCGCACGATCACGCCGCAATGACTCTATCATAAAACGGGAGCCCAGGAGGATGACGAAAGAGAGCGAGTGTGTGGGGCAGATGCAGCGCAAGACACCTGCGTCCCGAAATCCCCCCGTCTTTTTCTTTGAGGCGCACACGGCGAACATCGGCGGAATCATCAAAACCACTGAGATCAGGCCTGAACGAAGTCGTATCACCCAAACTGCGAGGGGAGTTGCAGCACCAAAAGGCCCGAATAACAATGCTGTCAAGGTGTCCAGGGGGTGAGGAGAAGGAGTCTTCTGAGTGGGAGGGAGGGAGAGAAAAGCAGAAAAACCAACCTGGTCAAAGACAGCCGCAAAGAACTGGTCTCGGCTGATCCACCGCTTCGACATCTGGGCGGGCTCCCAACGCAGGCTGAAGTCCAGCAACGTGAATACCACTCGGCGTATGAGAAAGCACAGAAAGTCCTCTCTTGCAGACGAGGCTGCAGGCTGCGCCTCGAGGAGGTCAGCTGAGAAAATGTGCTGCGGGTCCGCTAGTGCAACTGCATCAATGAAGAAACGTGTAAGCTCAAATAGGCCCACAAGACAGTCGACGGCTGAGCCCTGATCCGTAGCTGCGAGTAGGGCGGCTGGTGGTTGTTCATCCTTGGAAGGTACCTCCCCGCTTGCGGAGAGATCGTCCATTGACTTGAGACCCAGCGACCGGATGAGACCCGAGAATGCTGTCTCAACTAGGTGCAACGACAGACTCATATCGGTGTCCTTGCAGGGCGGGTGAAAATCCAGAGGCAGGTGGCTCACGAGGGGCAGAAGGCTTGAGAAGATAGCCTGTGCAGGAGGTGGGAGAAAAATGTAGTAACAGAAAAAAAACACATAAACAGAAGATGCGGCAAAATCTATTTAATCCCGCCTCCCCCCTGTGGAGTGCACTATGTTCCGGAGATAACTGTGAAGGTCGCCTACAAGAGGCATTGAATAAAATTAATCGAGCACTATTTGCATCTGAGTGGGGTCGTTACTAGTAGTAGTGGTGGTGGCGACGCGCTCGAAGCTATCACGGAGCGTTAAAAGCCACTGGCTTGGAAAGGAAACTCGGACTGCGCGGTCAGCTTAATGGTTATTGCGATTGGTGGAGGGATTGCTTAGCAGACTGAAAGGCAGGCTGCTGCAATGGCTCCTTCTTAATGTGGCTATTATGGCACTCCCACGCAACTGGGGTTCGAGCCAGGTGTGGCGGAATGTGTACTTGCCAAATGCATTGTGCAAATCTTCGAACCCCTCTTCTCCCCGCCGCCGCCCCTTCCTCCCAACTACCCTCCTACTAAGTAAGTGTGCCTGGTAGTCATATGGTGGATTCTAGATTGACTGAGCTCAGGAAATCCTGCTTTGGCAGTCGGCTTACTGTATTACAATAGGTGAATTTCATGTGGTGTACATCGGCCCAAGTGTGATTAAACTTACGACTTCGGGTGCGGGGGGCATCGTAGCTCAGTTGGCTAGAGCGCTAGATGTACTCAAGCCTCCCCTGCCCCCGTACAGTAGACGCCGTTGACCATGCAATATTTCGACATATGTGAAAGACTAATACTCTTTCGCTAATCGGAATTGACTCCAGTTGTGATACTGATAAAGTCATTTCAGTCAGGATAGGAAGCCGGCTTTTTCATGAGCTTCGTTCCGACTCCTACCAAAACGTATCTATTGCAAAAACTGGCTACTTAAGTAGTATGCCTTTTTATCATTTATTTTGA